TTAAATTGGGTGCAATTTAAAACTTATGAATTGTTTATTTCGGGAATTTTTCATTTAACATTTTTGGGCTGCAGTTGACCATAGCTAACCAAAATCATGGAAAGAGAAATTGCAGATAAAAGGGGAACTATTGTATTGCAATTGTGCTATTTGGGAGGAAAGATTTGAACAAGTTAATTGACTTACCTTCCCAAGCTTCTAAACACTTCTGCTACTCAGCTGCACCTCCCTGAAGCCCAGAGGAGCATGTCTCCAGTGTAAAGTAAAGGGTGACACCACCCAGAAACCTTCACAGCATTTGGACTCAGATGTGTTTAATTTAAAAGATACGGCAGGGGAGGTGGAGAAGCATTTTTCCTTTAGTCACAAAGAGTGTTCATCACAACAGTGGATTTTCATAGTTACGAGCCATGCTGGGCCAGCCTGGAGCACCATATCCCAAGAGATACAGGTGCTTTATGCTGCCTAATAAATGTGTTTTGTGTGTGTTCGCGATATGAATAGTCCTCTAAGGCATGGGTCCTTCGACAGGATCACCTCTTGCCTGGGCCTTAAAATAGTTCCAGTTCCATGTGCTTTGCAAATTAGGATGCATCAAGTGACAACTGTTATCTACTAGTGAGAGCAGCAGTCCCAGGATGTTAACACACTGCATGGTCTGCAGGTGTCAGGGTCACCAAGAAAGATCGGACTTATACAGGCACTGGATGGAAGACAGGGCAGGGGCAGCTTGAATAGTGAGTTCCAGTACCCCAGAGCCAGCTGACGCCACCCCACAGCAACAGTTTGTATGCACCACTCTTGCGCTGCAGGTGAAGGATCCCATTCCCTCCCCACTTGTAAGGGTTGCAGTAGTGGGAATGGCCAGGTGCCATATGACACATGTTTAAGCAGAACAAAGGAGCACACATTGAGTCGGGAACAGAGAAAACTATTCCCACACAAGGTGATAAGCCCAGCATAGTCTCTGAGGGTGCTTTATCTCTTGATAAGGAAGTGTTCCGGCTCCAAGGCCATTCTTTTTTTTTTTTTTTTTTTGAGAAGGAGTCTCACTCTGTCACCCAGGCTGGAGTGCAGTGGTGTGACCTCAGCTCACTGCAATTTACACCTCCTGGGTTCAAGCAATTCTATTGCCTCATCCTCCAGAGTAGCAGAGACTACAGGCACCCACCACCATGCCTGGCTAATTTTTTTGTATTTTTAGTAGAGATGGGGTTTTACCAGATTGGCCAGGATGGTTTCAAACTCCTGAGCTCAGGTGAACTGTCTGCCTCGGCCTCCCAAAAGTGCTGGGATTACATGCGTGAGGAACCATGCCTGGTTTTTTGGTTTTGTTTGTTTGTTTGTTTGTTGGGACAGTCTTGATTTCCCACCCAGGCTGGAGTGCAGTGGCACAATCACGGCTCCCTGCAGCCTCAGCTCCCCAGCTGGAGTGATCTTCTCACTTCAGCCCTCCTAGCAGCTGGGATCACAGGCACACACTATCATGTGATTGAGCGTTCATGTGCAATGAGTGGTTAATTTTTTTTTTTTTTTTTTTTTTTGTGGAGACAGTGTCTTGCTATGCTGCCAAGGCTGGTCTCAAACTCCTGGCCTCATGCAATCCTCCTGCCTCAACCTCCCAAAGTGCTGGGACTACTGGCATGAGCTACCACACCCAGCTCACTCTTTTTGAATTGATACATAATAATTGTGGATATTTGTGGGGTGCATAGTGATGTTTCCGTACATATAATGTATCGTGATCAGATCAGGGTAGTTAGCATATCCATCATCTCCAACATTTACCATCTCTTTGTGTTAGGAACATTCATTGTCCTTCTAGCTATTTGAAAGCATGTATTGTGGTTAACTAGAGTCATTCTACAGTGGTAGAGAAAGCTAGAGCTTACTCCTCCTATCTAGCTGTATGGTTATATGCTTTAACAAGGCCACTGTTGTGCAGCTATGCAGGGGTGGAAAGACTGCATGCCTGTGACTGCCTTTTCCAACAGGACGTGCAGCTGGTCTGAGAGAGAACCAGAACACTCACTCCCTTTTGCCTGGGACAACAATCTGAGCTCTTGGGACTTGCTTTGCTCACTGGGCACTTTTACTTCACAACTAAAACCATTTTATTAAACTGCTTTACCACTATTTAACATGGCTAATGGTTAATGGGAAGAGTTCCTGGTGAGTCGACTCAGAGATAGCTGGCTTGGTTCATGCTCTGCCCCTCCTTACACAGGCAACTGGCTTCTATACAACTCTAGTCTATCAGTGAGATCAGGTGCCTGGGGTGGTTTTACTTGGAAACCCAAGGAACAGCAACCTGCAAAGGGGAGAGGCACAACATCAGGCCCCTTTCCTCTGAAGGGAGTTGGACTTGGGAAAAACATTCTAAGGTTTCACGACCAGTTAGGGACATGGACACACAATGCATGGACCAATGAGAAAGAAGCGAGGGGTGACACTGAAAGTAACAACAGAGGCCAGGTGCAGTGGCTCATGCCTATAATCCCAGCACTTTGGGAGGCAAAGGTGGGCGGATCATGAGGTCAAGAGATCGAGACCATCCTGGCCAACATGGTGAAACCCCGACTCTACTAAAAACACAAAAATTAGCCAGCTGTAGTCTCAGCTATTCGGGAGGCTGACACAGGAGAATCGCTTGAACCTGGGAGGCGGAGGTTGCAATGAGCTGAGATTGCGCCACTGCACTCCAGCCTGGTGGCAGAGCAAGACTCCATCTCAAAAAATAAAAATAAGAAATGTAACAGCAGAAAAATTCCATTAACTAACTGCAGGGCTGAGAAAGAAGACAGGCTGCTCCAATGACTGTATATTTTAGCTCAAATGTACTGACCCCTGTCCTACATGGCCCTGTGTTATTACAGAGTAGTACAGCTTACACTAGACAAATGTGATGTGCAAGCATATATCTTTGGCTGTCCATCATGGGATGTGGTAAGAGCTATGTCTACAGGCAGAAGATATTTGGTGCTTCTGTAAGAGACTAAGTTCTGGGGTATGCTAGGCAATATTGTGAAACTATTTCAGCAAACACCTCATAGGTCAGTTGTGAGCTAATGCCAACAAGGCCCATAACACTGTTTCTGGAACATGAAAGTACTCAGTAAGCACTGACAGTTGTTTTTGTAGACTTCTAAGACCTCTGAGGCTGGAGCAGCCCTGTGGAGTAGCACAGCCTGCTCCTTTGGAGATGCCAGGCTGATTAACACACAGAGATTATCTGATTATTAAATGTCATCAAGGATGCTTGGTGGTAGGAGGAAGTGGGGGGAATAAAAGACTCAGGGAACACACAAAAACCACTCATAAATGTGTTCTATATTGGTGAGATCAAGCAATGGCAATATGTTGAGCAATCAACATATTGATTAGTGAATATTGTGAAATCTATTCCTCATTTTCTTTCACTAAACAAATATGCATTTAATACTGTGTCAGACACCTCTGTACACCCCTTCCAGTCTATCAGCTTCATCTCTTACTCTAGCCACCACTACAGCAGCCGGTTGCACACAGGCTCTGCCCAGCTCAAGATGGTATAATCTGACAGCACCTCACCTTGTCCATCACGCGCACCCCTCTTTCCCTGCACCAGGGATTCTCTGATGCTGAGGTGTAAGAAGCATGTAAGAATCTGCTCAGTACTCAGGCATGTGCAACCTGGAAGTCTGGACAAGTACTTCCGACCACACCTGAGTTTATGTGAATGAAGTGACATTTGAAAAGCCTTAAGGATGAGAGCTGGTTGCCAGGGAAGTCAACCATGAGAGGATTGGAATTTTCAGCCTCTATCCCCAAACTCCAGGGAGGGGAGAGAGGCTGAGAGGCTGGAGATTGATCTGATCACCAATGGTTATTTAATCAATCATGTTTATGTAATAAAGTCTCCATAAAAATCTAAAAGGATAGGGTTCCAAGAGTTTCCAGGTTGGTGAACTTGGAACAATGCTCAGTGGAGGTGCTGAGAGGGTGGCACACCAGGAGAGGACACAGAAGCTCCAAACTCCCTCCCCATGCCTTGCCCTATGCACTGACCTGGCTGTTCCTGAGTTGTATGCTTCATAATATAGCCTTGTAAGTAAACTTTTCTTCTGAGTTCTGAGAGCTGTTTTAGCAATGATGGAATCTTAGGAGGGGATCATGGGAAACTCTGATGTGCAGCCAAGTCAAACAGAAGTTGTGGTAGCCTGGGGACCCACTATTTGAAATTGGCATCTGAAAAGTTGCCAGTCTCACGGGAATGAGCCCTTAACCTGTGTGGTCTGTGCTAACACCGGGTAGTCTGAGACGTGAAGCACTGAGAATAGTAGTAGAGAATAAATGGGAGATTTTTTTTCAAGGAATAATAAGATTCTGGATATATTTTTGGAAGTAGGGCCAAAATTACTTATTAATGAGTTACATATGGGGTATGAGACAAACAGAGGAGTCAAAGATATCTCCAGACAATGGACAAGGAATATTCCTTCCCAGAGACTAAGTGCCGGCCTGAGAAAGAAGCCGGAGTACCCCCACAAGGGGACATTTTAGCTCCCATGTGCTCACCCTTGCTCTATACTCTCCCCATTGTATTCTAGGGTAGCTCAGCTTATACTAGACAATCGTGCTGCACAAGCACACATCATGGGCTGTCCTATGAGCTGTGTTTACCAGCAGAGATCACAGCTCTACAAGTTGAAGTGTTCCCTCTGGTGGTCCCCATGTGTACAGGCTGTTTGAGCATCTGAAGGTGATTAGCTCCCAAAGAAAAGAAAAACTCCTGTTTAGAGAATGAATGAATCTCCCAGAGGTAAGGACCCGTCATAAGGTATTTGCTCCCTCTGCCTGTACTTAATGGGACAATTAGGGGAGTCCACAGCGACAGTCCAAGTCATCTTTGTCCTCTACTTCCTGTTGCATTCTCAGCATTGTTCCCTTTTTAGAAAGAGCCTGTTAACTATCATAAATCAAAAAACAGCATTCTGACCTCTGCCCTGTAACTTCCTGATCCTCCTCTTCTTATAAATATGAGGCAGAGCTGGGGTCCCGGGAAGCCAGGAAACAGTGAGCCCAGGAGTCCTCGGCCAGCTCTGCCTGCCCACCAGAAGGATGAAAGTCTCCGTGGCTGCCCTCTCCTGCCTCGTGCTTGTTGCTGCCCTTGGATCCCAGGCCCGGGTCATAGATGGTGAGTCCAGTAACCCTTCTTCCAGGTGACCAGGTTCATGGTAACTCAGGATCTGGGACAGAGACACATTGCCCTTCTGTGGCTACTCTCCATCCCAGGCGTGGCTGTGGTACTCATTTAAAAGCAGCCACAGAGTATAGACCTGGCTCTATCTGCAGGCTTTGGACCCTGAGGTGGAAATATACACTATGGCTGGTCCACTGTGGGGCCAGTTATTCTCCTTTCCACAGCAAAAATTATTTGATACCTTCCCTTAGCTGACATAGGACTATTAAGTGCTAGATTAAAAGAAGTGTATTAAAATTACAAACTTGTAGAAAGAAGCATAGAATTGTATGACGCTAGAACTGTTACATACCATCCATAATTTTGGAGAATAAATAGAACCAGCCACACAAATGACTCAACCAAGGTCACCTAACCATCCTATATTTTTGTTCAACAAATGTACATCTAGTACTTTCTATGTACAGGGCAGGCACTGTTCTAAGTGTCTTATAGATATTAATACATCAATGCCACCTAACAACTCTGTGGGGTACATATTAGGTTAAAAAAAAAAGCAAATTTGCTGCTTTCATAAGGAAAAAAAATATCAATTTTATATAGTTTTTTATATTATTATTGTTGACATTTTACAAATGAGAAAACTGAGGCACAGAACCTTAGATAACTTGGTAGATCATACAGCTAGTAAGTGGTGGAATTAAGATATGAGCTAATTAGGAAGTAGTTATGGAAAGACAAGGCCATTTAAGATATTTTTTTACCTTACCCAAACCCTTTTACCTTACCCATATTAAAGTATACCCACATGCCTCATTACATACAATTCATTTAATGTAGCCATATTAAAAAAAAGCTAAAAACACTGGAAAGTAATTAGGGGACTAAGTTGGTAGCTGAATTGTTATTGTCAAGTCTTTATGTTTCAATATGTAAATTAAATATCTATTTTATTTATTTTTTATAGAGATGGGATTTCGCCTTGATGGTCAGGGTGGTTTTGAACTCCTGACCTCAGGTGATCCACCCACCTCAACCTCCCAAAATGCTGGGATTACAGGCATGAGCCACCATGCCTGGCCTAAATATCAATTTTAAAGCTAGCTTTTAAATTATTAAAAGTATAATTAATATAATTGTTGAAATATATTAAATGCATATTTAAGTAGTTATTAAATTATATTTAAAGTATATTTAATTATTAAATTAAATTTAATGTATTTTTTAAATTATATTAAAAGTGTATTTATATATTATATTAAAAGACACATGCACACATATGTTTATTGCAGCACTATTCACAATAGCAAAGACTTGGAACCAACTCAAATGCCCATCAATGATAGACTGGATTTTTAAAATGTGGCACATTACACCATGGAATACTGTGCAGCCATAGAAAGAATGAGTTCATGTCCTTTGCAGGGACATGGATAAAGCTGGAAACCATCATCTCAGCAAATTAACACAAGAACAGAAAACCAAACACCACATGTTCTCACTCATAAGTGGGAGTTGAACAATGAGAACACACGGACACAAGGAGGGGAACATCACACACTGGGGCCTGTTGGCAGGTGGAGGGAAAGGGGAGGGAGAGCATTAGGACAAATGCCTGGTGCATGCGGGGCTTAAAACCTAGACGATGGGTTGACAGACGCAGCAAACCACCATGGCACAAACCTGCACATTAAGTATATGTATCCCAGAACTTAAAGTAAAATAAAGTTAAATTTTTAAAGTATATTTAATACTTATTAAAGTATATTTAATATAGTTATTAAATTATATCAAAAGTAAATATTTATTTTGTTTTATTTTATTTTATTTTGGAATGGAGTCTCATTCTGTGGCCCAGGCTGGAGTACAGTGGCAAAATCTTGACTCACTGCAACTTACACCTCCCGGGTTCAAGCGATTCTTCTGTCTCGGCCTCCCTAATAGCTGGGATTACAGGTGCATGCCACCATGCCCAGCTAATTTTTGTATTTTTAGTAGAGACAGCGTTTCACCATGTTGGCGAGGCTGGTCTTGAACTCCTGACCTCAAGTGATCCACCTACCTCGGCCTCCCAAAGTGCTGGGATTATAGGCGTGAGCCACTGCACCTGGGCAAATTTTAAAGCTAGTTTTATTCTGTGATACAGTCAATTGCGGAAATAAACTAACTTTGAGGATTAAAATTAAAAAGAAAGGAAAAATGTTTAAAAATTAGTTTCATTTGCCTAATAAGCATAAGGCAGCTCCACAATCCCATTTCCAAAGCATCTGGTGCTAGATCAATTTTGGAATGCAGAATTTCTCAGGTTTTAAAAAGTTAATATGATATGATGCAGCAATTCTATTTCTGGGCATATACCCAAAAGAATTCAAAGCAGGTACATGAAGAGATTTTTGTACATCCATGTTCACAGCAGCATTATCGATGACAATAGCCAAAAAATGGATGCAAACTTAGTGCCCATCAAAAGATTAGTAGATAAAAAGTATGGTTCATATATACAATGGAATGTATTCGGCCTCAAAAAGTAAGGAGATTCCCTTGAAGGTTGAAGTAAGAAAAAATAAAACTTTTAAAAAATTTAAGTAAGAAGATTCTGACACATGCTACAACAGGGATAAACATCAAGGACATTATGCTAAGTGAAATAAACCAGTCACAAAAGGACAAATAGTGTATGATTCCACTCACATGAGGTACTTAGAGTAGTCAAATTCACAGAGACAGGATACAGACAGTGGTTGTCAGGGACTGAAGGGAGGAAGAGTGGGGAGTTATTGTTTAATGAATACAGAGTTTCCGATTCACAAATGAACAAGTTCTCTGAATGAATGGTCATGAAAATTGCATAGTTATTTGAATGTATTTGATGCTATTGAACTGTATACTTAAAATAGTTCCAATGACAAAGTTTATGTTACATATATTTTGCCACAATTTTCAAATGATTTAGTAAAAACCTGAAACATATATTGATGGTACTTATCCCTGATGAGGTCTGGAAACAATATTTTAATCAAACACAGCAATCTCCTGTAGCAAACACATGAATATTTCTACTAACTGCGAAGAATAAAGACCATAATAGCCTCACTTCACTTCAGGGGATACTGTGCCACCATATGCACTGACGAAAATCTGTTTACAGAGCCCTGTGGATTCCAGAAATGTGTAGAAAGACTTGTAGACTGCGCCACATCATGTAGGCATTCCTTTAACTGAACCATGTTAGATTTTGCAGGTTGCTTTTAGTATTTCAGAGTCAACCCAACGTTTTCATGTCCACGTTTTCAAAAGGTCCCTGAAAAAACTCAAGGCCCTAAGGGAATAAATGGGCTGGGAGGCAAGCCTAGAACCCATACAGGTGGTAGTGGGTCCAGTGTCAGAGCCTCTCTGCCTCACGAATGGGATGAGCAATGGGGTGGGTGGAGATGCTGAAGCACTGCTGTCGCCCAGTGATTTCCTTCCTTGTCCTATTTGTTTCTTCCGTATGCAGAGACAGAGTCCGTGATGTCAGAGCTTCTATTGGAACATCCATTAGTTCAGAATGGTAAGTGACCAGATATGGCATACATTAGTTCAGAACAGTCTGTGATCAGATGTGGCATACATTCAAACAGTAAGTGATCAGATCTGGTCCAGCATCAGAGCCTCTCTGCCTCAGGAGGGGGATGAGCAATGGGGTGGGTGGAGATGATACAACACTACTGCCGCCCAGTGATTTCCTTCCCTGCCCTGTCTGTTTCTTCCAGATGCAGGGACAGAGTTCGTGACATCAGAGGTTTCATTGGAACAACCAGCAGGTCAGAGCAAATATGGCATACATTCAAAAGCAGCAGGCAGGTGGAGGTCTCAACTATGAGATCCATTGTCCCTGTTTACAGAATGGAAGGAGAATGAGAGGGTCTTGAGGGTGGTGAACATCTCCAAGGAAGATCAGGAATGGGCCACAGAGACCTCCTTCATAGATGCCTTCTCGATTCCCCTCTGGCTGTCCCAAGAGTCTGCTCCTTTGGGGCAGAAGGTGCTTTCTGATGCCTGCAGGTGTCTGCAGATGCCTTCCCCTTCTGAGGGAAATGTTCCTGGTCCTGCTGTGGCCCACCCTGGGTGCTCTCAAACACATAGGTCAACCCTGGGCAGGGTCTGAAGCAGGGAGATGCCAGGAAGTGCTGGCTGAGGAAGAGGAAACATGTCTTACAAGGCATGTGCCTTTTCACCCTCCACAGTGCTCTCAAGGAGAAAGACTGGCCCTCAGACAACACTTTTTCTTTCAACAGGTTTAACCCTTCCTGCTGACTGCTGCTACTCCTTCTCTCAACAAACCATCCGGTGTTCTCTCATGAATTATTATTTTGAAACGGGCAACAAGTGCCCCAAGCCAGGTGTCATGTAAGTGCCAAGCTCACTAACCATGTGCTGGGGAAGAAGAAGCCCCCAGCGTCTTACAGGGAAGACCCGATGGATGGGCATCCATCGGGTCCCACCCTCTGGAGCCAGGTGCGGGGCAGCTGTGTCCTTATGAGGATCCTGCAGGGTATCAGGGATGAGACACTCCCAGTGGAGAGGAGGTAGGGAAGGAAGAATAAAGCAGGCACAAGTTTGTCCAAGGACACTTCCATGAGTCATTAAGGAGCCCCATAGGCTGAGAGGGTCTCAAGAGGACACTGAGCCGCCATCAGCAGAGAAAGGAAAAAAATAAGCTGTGTTGAGTGGGAGATCTGAGAGGCAGGGAGGATGGGGCTCCCTGTCTCAACCTGCTAAACACACCTCACTTTGCAACCTTTCTCTCGGTTGTTCCCCAGCTTCCTCAGCAAGAGGGGGCAACAGATCTGTACCAAACTCAGTGATCCAGGAGTTCAGGATTGCATGAGAAGGCTGACGCCCTACCCAGTATCCCAAATCCGGGAACCAAAATAAACAGACAAGAGTCCAGCCATCTACTTCCAACACCTCTTCTGTGTCTCTTGGCCTGAATTTTAAAAAAAAAGTATTGTTGTGTCTGGTAATGCAAGCAATGCATCTAATAAAGAGTGTTCAATTTTTAACTTTGCTTGAGTTTTAAGAGGAAATAAACTGATGTAAAACTGAAGGAACTGCGGAGCCCCAATATGATTAAATACAAATTCACCTTATATCTCATCTTCTCTCTACTGAAACAGCTCATCTTCAAAGCCTTGGCTACAATTTCAAGAAAGTTTTTTTAACTCCATCATTTGCCCAATTCACACCATTTTCTAGTTTACTTTACATTTGATCCATTATAATCCCATAACAATTTTTATTTTGCCCACAATTTCCTTTTGATATTTTTCTATTCACCAAAAGGAAAATACTATTTGTTTCCTTATCAGCCCATATTTGCACTTGCATATGCACACCATTTGTTTCATGATAACTACTTCATTCTTTGAGACAGCCTTCAAGGACCTTCTAACTTCCTATTCCAATTTGCAGAAATGCTTTCTGGACCTGCCAAAATAATAATGATAATAACAAGTGACACTGGGATTTCTTCTCATCACACGTTTGAGTTCATTCCGCCATGACAGGCAGCCCACAGCTTCCTCTCTTTGGTTTATTTTTTATTTTGCTAGAAGATCCTTGAACTGCCTTGTGCTTTAAAAGATGACAAAGGCAAACACTCTCCTTTGCTCCATAGGTGCCAGGGCAGGCACAACTCAGGCTTGGCCAATCTATACTCCCTTCCAGAGATCTGAGCCTGAAACAAGTGTTGCAGAGGAGCAGAAAAAGAAAGGACTCCAACCAGGTGACAGTGGTGGTGGCAACAGCTTCCAGGTTTTGGAGGCAGCAATGCCAGCACATGTGCCCCGTGACCAGTGCTAGAGGTCAGCACCACTAGCTGCAGTGCCCAGCAGCAGTGGCAGCATTCACACCAGTTGATTCTTGTAGCATGATTTTTGGATGTGGTTTTTGAGCTGGTCTCTCTAGGTTTCTACCTCTGCCTACCAGGTTCAAGCAATTCTTCTGCCTCAGCCTCCCTAGTAGCTGGGATTACAGGAACCCACTACCACGCCTGGCTAATTTCTGTATTTTCAGTTAGAGACAGGGTTTTATCATGTTGGCCAGGCTGGTCTCGAACTCCTGACCTCAGATCATCCACTCACCTTGGCAGCCTTTTTGAGATGGAGTCTTCCTCTGTCACCCAGGCTAAAGTGCAGTGGTGTGATCTCAGTGCACTACAACATCTGCCGCCTGGGTTCAAGTGATTCTCCTGCTGCAGCCGCCCGAGTAGCTGGAATTATAGGTACCCACCACGACGCCCAGAAAATTTTTGTTTTTTTTAGTAGAGACAGGGTTTCACCATGTTGGCCAGGCTGGTCTTGAACTCCTGACCTCAAATGATCTGCTTGCCTCAGCCTCCCAAAGTGCTGGGATTATAAGCGTAAACTACCCACCAGACCTGGCCCAAGATTTTCCATTCTAACCAAGCATCTAGCCACTCACAGAAGGTCAAAAACATGTTATGTGCAGGTTAATTGCATAATAAATACTCTGTTCTCACAGTTCCTCAGAAACAGCATGTTCTTTTTTGCTTCCTTGCTTTGTGTGGTGCCCTCTGCCAGGCATGCCCTCCTCTCAACTTTGCCCAGCAAAACTCAACCCAACCTCAAGAGCTCAGATTAGATGCTCTCATAAAACCTTTCCCCTTCATCCCAGCCAGAAAGGCCCATCTCCCTTTCTCTGGAATCTTGAAACATATATTTATTGTCACTCAAAAAGATTATTATTGAGTGGCTACTTTAGATTATGCATTGTGCCAGGCATTAGGAAAACTATGAAAACCAAACAAAGTAGAATATTGCCCTTCAAGAATATATCAGTCCAGGGCCGGGTGGGGTGGCTCACGTCTGTAATCCCAGTACTTTGGGAGGCCGAGGTGAACAGATCACCTGAGGTTAGGAGTTCAAGATCAGCCTACCAACGTGGCGAAACCTTGTCTCTACTGAAAACACAAAAATTAGCCAGGCATGGAAATGGGCACTCTGAATCCCAGCTACTCAGGAGACTGAGGCAGGAGAATCGCTTGAACCCAGAAGGCAGAGGTTGAAGTGAGCCGAGATCATGCCACTACACTCCAGCCTGGGTGACAGAGCAAGACTCTGTCTCNAAAAAAAAAAAAAAAAAAAAAAAAAAAGAATATATCAGTTCATAGAGAAGACTGAAAATAAGAATAAGAATGATGCTTGGGTGCAAAAAATCATATCTAATTCATTGCTAAGTCTCCAGATTTTTATGCAACATTGGAGCAAAAACAGGAAGATATTTATCCTAGAGGCAACCAACCTGGGACTCAAGTCTCCCCAGGCCCTAGTTGGACTGGCCAATGGCTGAAGAGACCACATGATATTGAAGCATCGCATTTAGAAAGCTGTGTGATAGATAAGGCTTCTGAAACTTCAGCATGCATAAGACTCACCAGGAAGGCTTGTGGAAACACAGATTGTGGGCTCCCACTCCCAGAAATCTGGTTCAGTAGGACATGGGTAGTGCCGAAGAATCAGCATTTCTAATGAGTTTCCAGGTAATGCTGATGCTGCAAAGTGCAGTGGAAATTTGAAGAGGAATTCACTCCTGACTTCGTAACTTCACCATTGTTTGCAGTATTCTAAACAGCACATATTTCTTTAGTAATCAAAAAATTAAAAAGTTGAAAAATGCATATTCATTGTCTTTTCAACTAAATGGGCCAACTTTTCAATTGTGTTGATATTAGATTTATTTTGTGATGAAACTCATCAAACCGGTTTAATTATAAAATAAACATAAAATTGGAAAAGTTTTAAACATGGTTAAAGAGTCTGACCATCAATTTGGAATTTTTAAAAGTACAAATCTTGAGCTGGGTGCAGTGGCTCATGCCTGTAATCCCAGCATTTTGGAAGGCCAAAGTGGGCGGATCCCTTGAGATCAAGAGTTTGAGACCAGCCTGGCAAACATGATGAAAACCTCCTCTCTGCTAAAAATACAAAAATAAGCCAGGTGTGGTGGTGTGCACTTGTAGTCCAAGTTACTTGGGAGGCTGAGGTGGGAGGATCGCTTGAGCTCAGGAGGTCAAGGCTGCAGTGAGCTGAGATCACACCATTGTACTCCAGCCTGGGTGACAGAGTGAGACCCTGTCTCAAAAAAAAAAAAAGAAAAAAAAATTGAAAATTAAACAAAATAGCTAGAAAAAAGGTGCTTAAAAGTCATTTTAAAAATCTAAAAAAATTAAATCTAAAAAAAATCTCGGTATGGTGCCTCACACCTGTAATCTCAGCACTTTGGGAAGCCAGGAGTTCAAGACCAGCCTGGCCAACATGGTGAAACCCCATCTCTACTAAAATACAAATATTAGCTGGGCCTGGTAGCAGGTGCCTGTAATCCCAGCTACTTGGGAGGCTGAGGCAGGAGAATTGGTTGAACCCAAAAGGCAGATGTTGCAGTGAGCCAAGATCATACCACTGCACTCCAGTCTGGGCAACAGAGAGAAACTCCAACTCAAAAAAAAAAAAAAAATCTAAATAGAGCTTCATGGAGATCATAAAACATCCATATTTTTAATCTTTTAATTTTAGAACCAGAGACAAAATTTAAAAGTAATATAACTCATCTCCTCAACTGAGGGCTCAACCAGGGCCAGGGCAGAGGAGATGATGCACATGGTTGAGGCCAGTGGGGCCAGAGTCCAGAATACTGTGAGACTGGTTACATACAGTGAACCCAGCAAGTAAGTACATACATGAGGTTAATGGGAGCACAAGTCCCTATTGTTAGAGAAGGGAGGGAAACATATAGAAGGGGGAAAGACTGAAATAACTCTGTGGTGTTAACTTGGAATTGGACATAGTGGTGTAAACTTTTGTTTTTTCACATAGCTAGAAAGAGGATATAGAAATTGCTAATAATAGGCTGGGCATGGTGGCTTACGTCTGTAATCCCAACACTCTGGGAGGCGGAGGCGAGTAAATCATCTGAGGTCTGGACTTCGAGACCAGATTGGTCAACATGCAAAAACCCATTTCTAAAAATATAAAAATTAGCCGGGCGTGGTGACCTGTACCTGCAACTGCACTTCTGGGGTTCAAGTAATTCTCCTGCCTCAACCTCCCAAGTAGACTGACCTGGCTACTTGGGAGGCTGAGGCAGGAGAATCACTTGAACCCGAGAGGCAGAGGTTTCAGTGAGTCGAGACTGCACCACTTCATTCCTGGGCAACAGAGTGAGACTCCATCTGAAAGAAAGAAAGAAAGAAGAGAGAGAGAGAGAGAGAGAAAAGAAAAGAAAGAAATTGCTAATAATATATGAAATAGATATACTTGAAATAGACATAAATTTAAATACATACTTATACACATATGCTTACATATATTTCCTAGTTCTATCCACTGAAAGCTCAGACCTAAAAGTGATGCCATTTCCATAGCAATGAACACACCCAGCACGCAGATTTTGGTTTTTCAAAATCATTTTTTAGTAAAAGAAACAGACACATGGAAGAAATGGCTAATTCCAGAGCTGGGCCAAGGAAAGTACAAGATGAGCCTGGAACATCTATTTGTGCCAAAAAGTAAAAAAAAAAAAAAAGACTAATGGAAATAGGTGAACTGAATATAGGATCAGGTGAAATTTAAAACATCAAAGTTTGAACATCGAAAAGGATAAAAAAAAAAAAAAAAATTAATCCAAAAAAAAAAAAAAAAAAAAAAAAATAGATTAAAGAATAAACCCTAAAACTTTCTAGAGAGGGAAAACACCAGATCACCACAAATGAAAGTTTCAGAAGAAACCTATTCTTATATTCCATTGTAGAATTCTACATTGAACAAAAATATCAATCAAGTATGAGAGCTGAATAATGACTTCTTCAGACAAGCATGAACTCAGAAAGTCTATGTCCTACAAATCCTTCCTGCATTATTCAATTTTTTAAACCAATATATCTATATTGCTTTGAAAAAACATTTTAAATATTTTTTAAATAGGTCTTCATACTCAACAGGGGGCAATGGGGGGACATTTAATGTCTCTAATCATATTGCTACCAAATCTCATTCATCCAGTTGTAATTATAATTCTCCTTTAATTTTTTTAGTCTCTCTTTGAGTTCTGAGTCTTCTGGGATCAGGGTCATCTTCATTCCCTCCCTCCAAGCCTAGCCTAGGACTTGGCATGTGATACTGTGTCAAAGGAGTGATGCGGTCACCAAACCTATTCCTTTTTCTTCCTGGGTATACAGATGAGGTGTATTTGGCATTATGTTGGAGCCAGGTTACTTGCTGCTGGCCATGGAATGTGGGTGAAAGTAATTTGTACCATTTTCAGAATTGGTCCATAAAAATTTCCCAATCCTCCTCTGCCTCTCCCTTTTGGTATCAAGTTTGGAAGCCTCGTACCGAAAATGGTGGCATCCAAGACAGAAAAGGCCCTCGTTCCCAAATGAGTGCATGGAGGATCCCAATACACACACCATCATCCCACTACTGACCCACACTGGACTGTGACATGAGCAAGAAATAAATTTTTATTGAATTAATCTGCTGGATTGTTTATGATAGCAGTTAGCATATTCAGACTAATGTAGGTAGGAAGTCAATACTTGCTGGAAATGTACAGGAATTTCCTGTATGCCTCCTAGGAACAACTTGGCAGGTTGACTAGTCTCCACAAAAACAAAGAGGTAAGCATTATTTCTTTCCAACTCACTCTTCCCATAAACACCTTGTTTCCTGAGATTGTTCCTAATAACAGTTATCATTTAACTCAAAGCATTTACATAATGTTCTTATTGATGATAAGAAATACAGAAAATGTCTAATCAATTGCTGTCTCCACACCTAACCATGAGATTTCAGCCATTTCCTGTTAGATGCACATATGTAGACCTGGCTCAATTTTTTTTCATCCTTCTTCTAAAATGTATATTCACAAATCACCTGGCATATATTAGGTTCTGTGTGAACAGGCGAAGATAAATAATAGATGTTCTCTTCCCTGATGATTCAGATGAGGAGAGGAAATTAAATAGCCATCTAATCACATCAGCAAGCAGAATGGGGGGAGTGCTCCCACAAACAGAACCCCCATGCTCTCAGGCCCTAGGCTGGAAGTCTGCACAGGTGAGATCTGTCCTGTCACTGGCCCTTTCTGATTCCCAGCTTCCATTCAGTAAATGGCCAGTTTAGATGAATCAAATAGCAAATATGTAGCATGCAAGCTGCATGGCATAGAAACTCATGTCGGTCATAGCGTATCTCACCCAATGTGCCTAGGCATGGCCTCAGAATCATTTCTAACAAAGAGCTCCAGTCCACCACTAATCTACGAAACCTGCTAGCCATCCCTGAATTAGACATTTTCTAAGGTTCTCACCAGGCTTCTCTGTAGCACAAGTCAGAGAAACCAGGAGAAGATCCCAGAGAGATCTGCTATCTGAGCTCAGAAAGAGCTAAGACTAAAGGCTTCATAGAGAACTCAAGCCAGCCCAGGACATTTTTACAGAGCTCCATGGGAGTCCCAAGTTTCTTTATAGTATAGTGGGTAAGAACACAGACCTGGAAGCCAGACCACCTGAGTTTGAACCCCAGTTCCATTTACCAACTGTCAAAAGCGTAGGCTTTGTTTCTGAGCCTGTTTCCTCAACTGCTCTTCTAAAGATTAAATAGGCTAGTGTTCATAAAGCCTCTGGGACAGTGGCTTGTGTGTATAGCAACCATTATATAAATGAATTATCTAGTGCGCATCACAGCACTTCTTCACCCCATGGTGTGGTGACCAGGGTGGAGATGAGACTGAGAACTGTAGGTTCTGCTTACCAGTTTAAGTTAGGATTTCCCAGCCTTGACCAATGAGACCTGATTTGGGGGACTCCAGGCCTCATTCCACTACCCCAAGTGCCCTCTAGTCTCCAGATGAACAGATCCTGAATCTCCAGGACCCACATGGCCTGTTCTAAGGCCTGAGATGGAATTGGATACAAGACACATCCAGCCTTGAGATCTTTTGCTAAATCTGACACAGTGCCCCAGCCCTGTGCTCATGTTCACGCCTACAGAAAGGCTTATATCAAAAGAGCTGAACTTCCCACTGGGGATGGGAGACCATTTCCTCCCTTAAACCTTGGCTCTCCCTACTTTGTTCATGCCATTGTCAACAAATGTGCAGGATATGAAATTGCTGAGGCATCGCTGCTTTTCTACTTCCTTTCCAAATCTGTTTCCTCATGTTAAAAAATACTTGGCCTCAAAGATCATTTCTCAACAATTCCTCACCGCAGGAGCCTCAGAAGCCCTCAACAGGCCAGTTCTCCTCCTGCAACAGCTCCCCACAGCATGAAGGTCTCCGTGGCTGGAATTACCTTCTTCCTCCTCATCACCATCGCCCTAGGTGATGGTGAATTCAAGACGGACTTCTCCTTAGGTGAGTGCAATGCCCTGTCTTCCTTCCAATCTAGTCACTGCAGGGAAATAAGCAGGAGTAAGGTTGGGGCTCGTGGGGAGACCAGCAGCGGGGACTCGAAAAGGAAGGCTGGCATCTTCTTGAAATTGTATGTACAGCAATCCTTGTATCTACTGAGCACCACAGCACTTCTTCACCCCATGGTGTGGTGAGCAGAATGGAGATGAGACTGAGGACCATAAGTTGTGCTTAAGAGTTTAAGTTAGGATTTCCCAGCCTTGACCAGTGAGACCTGACTTGGGGGACTCTGGGCCTCATTCCACTACCACAAATGCCCTCTAGTCTCCAGATAAACAGATCCTGATTCACCAGGCCTCACTCAAGTGGCCTTGATCTCTTATCACTGTCCCCCAGGACCAGTCCCCCTTTCCCTGAAGGCCATGGAGTGAGGCCAGCCTGCCTCTCTACTCCCTCAACTTCTCTCTCTTTGCCACCAAGCAAAAGAGTGGCCACCCCATTTGGGGGATATTTCCTCAGGGAGATTAGGAGCAGTGTCTTGAGCCTCTCAAGGGCATTTTTCTATTGGCCTCCTCAGGTTTAGGCCCAGCCTGCTTCCAGCGTCACCTGTGCCCAGGGAGTGCAGCATTGCTTGGGTATGGGCTGGGGGTAACTACACAGTGTGGGGTCCCTCCTAGGACCCCATTTCTCAGCTGATATCTTAGAATAAGCTGCCTTTAAAGACAACTCAAACTATTTATCACTCTTCCATTTTACCTAGTCTCCTTTTCAGAAACTAGGGGGAAACAGAAGGTTGTTAAAATATAGTGGTCTAAAGTTAGCAGGTATGTGCACAGTTTGACTTGCCTCCGCAATGCCATTTGGCAGCTCAGGGGAACAAGGTGGGAGAGTATAGGAGCTCTCGTTGGGTCTCAGGAACCAGGGTTCCCCTTATGCCGTTCTTTGGATAGTGAGGATGCTGCCTGGAATGGAGCTGGAAAACAGGACCAGACTTTTCCCTTTCCACCCAGGCATCGGGCCACCCTCCGTGACCTCAAAGCCATTGTGATGCACACCCACATTTCCATCCAGTATGGCCACATAACAGGCACACACCTGATTTCTCCACTCCATAACCACATGCGCCTGTTTATACAGGGCTCTTGGTCTGCAATGTCCTTCCTGCTACCTCTATAATTCAAGCTTGGGGTGACTGCTGTCACCTCCTTGCTTCTCCTTTAAGAGCCATGAAACTTCTCAGTCAGAAAATAGATGTAAAAAAAAATCACCTAATCCACTGATTTTTAAAACTTTTTAGATCACAAATCTTTCTTCAAGCAACATCTTCCACAGAGGCCCAACAGTAAAACAGAAAAAAAAAAAAAAAAAAAAAAAAAAAAAAAAAAAAAAAAAAAAAAAAAAAAAAAAAAAAAAAAAAAAAAAAAAAACATTGAGTAGGGTACAAGACATCACTCTCCAGTGCGGCAGAGCCTCCAAAATAGTCCTCAAGGCCCCCAGAGCTCGACAGAGCTCAATGTGAAAACCACTGATCCAGTCCAAGGGTCTCATTTATAGAGGAGGGAACAGGGGAAAGTTAGTTAAATGGCCACAGTACAAAGGAAGCACAGGCAAGGTTGGGTTAGGATTTGGGTGTCCTGACTCTGTGGCCATTGTCCTCAGGGCTGGGTGTGGGCATCGGGCACACTGTCAGTTCAATGGGGACATGGGCAGGGTGGAGCACTAGGAGAGACTGCGTTTGCATTCCCAAATGGCATGTCTCCAAATCCCTATTAGGATTTCTTCCAAATACTCCTCCCATTTGGAGCACCTTTCCGAATAAGGCACGAAGGCTGCATGATGTTGGCCAAGTCCCTAGCCTTCTCTGCTAGTAGGCCCCCAGAGATGGTGTGAGAACATCTGAGTGTGCTGCTCTTCAACCCTGGAGTTGAAAGACATCTGCCAGTTTTTCCAGGAGGAAGGGTGATTGCTGATGAGGGAGGAGGAGAAGAAGAGCTCGGGACTGCTATGGAGGAGAGGAGAAAATGAAGAAAGCCTACTCTCACTCCAAGTTCTGCGGGGCTGCCTCCTCCTTTCTTCCCTCCTCCATGCCCTCGGCTTGCAGAAGGAGCCAGTGGTATGGCGTTTTAGCAGCCAGTGATTTACCCTCCTCAGCATCCCGATGCTGTCTCCTCAGGGGGACCTTACCAACCCTCAGAGTGCTGTTTCACCTACACTACTCACAGGATCCCCCGTCCGCGGATTGTGGCTTATTATGGGACCAACAGCCAGTGCTCCAAGCCTGGAATTGTGTAGGTTCATACACACACATCACACTGTGGGGAGAGGGAGCCAGCAGGGCCTCCTGGGGGGAGGCAGGGAGTGACCCAGAAACGGGGAGCCTGCAGCAGCCATGGGGAAGCTGACTCCACAGGTGGGGAAGCTACAGGAAGGGAGAAGAAGGCAACAGGGCACTTTCTTGGGGGGACACAGAGACTAGATGGGTTTAGGGGTCCAAGGGCCAGAAGAGCATGTCTCAGAGAGGAGACTGGCTCTGAGCTGCTTCTGTCAAAGAAAGGAGAAGCAGACTAGGTCAGGTGGGGAATTTAGGAGGGAGGGAGGAAGGGCTCTCTCTTCTGGCCACCGGGCCCCTCGCTTTGTGATCCTTCTCCCTCTTGCTCCACAGCTTCATCACCAAAAGGGGCAAATCCATCTGCACCAACCCCAATGACGAGTGGGTCCAGGACTATATCAAGGGCATGGAGGAGAACTGAGTGACCCAGAGTGGGTGGTGAAGGCACAGCTCAGAGAAGGCACAGCTAAAGAGAAGATGCCAAGGCCCCCCCTCCTCCACCCATCCCTAACTCTCAGTCCCAGCAACCCTCTGGGAGCTTCCCTGCCTTGAATTAAAGACCACTCATGTCCTTCCCTGGCCTCATTCCTTTCTACTGGATTTACTCATTGGCCATGCACTGAGGACACCAGGGAGTCCAGCCTGGGTGTGGCACCCTCAGCTTTAAGCCTCTCTCTGCAGAAGTTTCACTAGAGCCTGACACCAAAAAAAAAAAAAAAAAAAAAAAAAAAAAAAATAGGTCAGGCCTGCAATGGGGGTAGTGAGAAGGAGAAAGTGGGAAAGAAAAGCAGTGTGAAGACCATCTCGTCCTCAACAATAGCAGATCCTGTTTCCTTAGTGCTCTCTACACTCCAAGCACTCTGCCAGGCAGTCTGTGTGCATTATCTTACTTAAGCTTCATGACAAGTTTTCTAAAAGCTAAAAATCATTTGATTGTATAGGTAAAACTTCATAAAGGCCTCTCTACAGCAGTCAAACTCCATAGTCCTTTTTCTGTGCTGTTTCCAAGGCCTTTCTTCGCTGCTGTCCGAGATAGGAATGATTTATGAAGACGTTTTACCCAATCCCTCCCTTTTACTTACAAACATCAGGTTATATTATATTACATTGCTTTACTAATTTATTTTATCCACTACAAGGCTTAGCAGAAAGCCTGGCCCATACCAGGTGTTCAGGAAATGGCTGGCTGGCTGGATAGATGAATGGATGAATAGATGGATGAAGGAAGGAAGGAATGGGTGATGGAAGGATGAAGGGTGGAAGGAATGAATGGAGGGATGGAAAGAGGGATGGACAGATGGAAGGATGGATGGATGGATGGATGGATGGATGGATGGATGGATGGATGGATTAACGGATGGAATAAGGCAGGAATCAAGAGGAAGGCATGTTCAAATAATAAGCTCTCAAACCTATCTTCAGGGCTCAAAGAGGAGCTCTGTGTACTTGGAATAAAGGCTTCTCCAGAGTAGGGATTATGACCACCCTTTCCTGGCCTCCAGCCTTCCACAGACAAGGGCTTGTGGGCCACAGTAAGGCCCATGTGGGGCCTGCATCCAAAGTTACAACCAGGCTTCTCAGACCTTGTCACCTCCATAAACAGAGATCAAGAGGATGCCCCACATATGTACCCCCCCTACCCTCACAAAAAGCTGCAGCTTCACCACCAGGTGAAGCCTTCAACTCACTAGGACTAACTGCATTATATGGTTTACCTACCTATAAGCAGTCATGCCAAGCAGAAAGCATTTGCAGAGTTCCTTTTCTGCCCCTGCCTCCCACTGTCCTCACTTCCGGAAGCACATCACCTGTGCCTCTAAAGCTCGCCATCCATCAACAGCAAAATCCCCTATATCTTCAAACTCTTCTCTAAATGCTACCTGCAAGGTGGAAAAGGGTCCTGAGGCTCCCTGAAGACAGATGGGGCTGTGGAGCAGGTACAGCCAGAGCCCAGGCCAGAGGCGCCAAAGCTGGAGTCCTGGAGCACACACGCAGGTTGTCAGGTGCACAGAGTTGGAGCGTCCCCTGCTGGTCATGGTTGGCCATGGGGACAGGGTTGGATAAACCTGTACTCTGGCCACCCAGCAGGGATCAATCAGCAGGCTGGCTACACCTAAAAATTCGTCCAAAGTCCAAGGTCCAAAGAGATAAATAAAAACATTAACAAATCAGTCAAACGGTCCAGCAACAAATGGGGATCCAAGGATCAGGCACATTGGTTTTTTTGGAGCATTATTAGCATAAGCTGTGACATGAAGGAGTGTGAGTTCAATCATGTGGCCTTGGACTGGGGAAGGGGCATATCCTTCTCAGAGGCAACTAAGCCCTACCCTTGCCTCAGTCTGGGCTCTGTAATCCTGCTTTGTGCTCATTCTCCCCAAGACTGACCAACTAGGGGAAGCTGGGGTGGTTCAACCCTGCCTGCCCCTTCCCCAACATGGACATGGTGGCAGGTACCATGGTGAAATCAAACAGATCTGGTTTTTCATCCTGCCTATCCACCCAGGTGACCCTGGACAATTTATTTAGCCTCTAAGCCTCAGTAGTCCCAGGGAAGTAATAATCGCTACTTCATTATTTTAAGCATGATGTAAGATAGGGCATTTAAGATAGCTGACACACAATCACCCATTCCTTCATATGAATTCAAATTCTACTGAATTCAGCTCTGCACCAGGCCCCATCCTCTGCTGCCCTCTGTTTCAGCAAACACTGGAATCTGTTGTTTCTCCCCATCTACCCGCTCTGATGCGGTCAAGGTCCAGAGAGCTGAGTAGTTGGCAAGCGGACGACCAACAGCAGACGACACCTTCACTCGGCTCTCTCTGGAGCTGTGCTGCCCCACCGAGAGGATGAAGGTCTCCGAGGCTGCCCTGTCTCTCCTCGTCCTCATCCTCATCATTACTTCTGCTTCTTTCAGCCAGCCAAGTGAGTCCACTTGTCTCTCAAGCACAGGAACAAGAAAGGAGGATGGAGCAGCTGGTAGGGAGGGGTTGCCAGGGGCACTATGGGGTCTCTGGCCTCATAAGCCCCCATGGGCTCTCCCCACCTTCATGCAGAGCTCCTGATCTTCAATTCTCCCCTTTGTCAGTAGAGCTGGGGTTGGTCTGGATCCTTCTGGGATAAGCAGTTCCAGGAAACTGGGTCAGCATTTCCTCAGGAGTCCCAAGCATGGCGAGCGGAAATGATCATTCAGGGGGAGAGGCCAAGAAAGCCGCAGAAAATGCAACAAGAAGTACACGCAATGAAAGAGAGGGGGAGGCACACGGATGAGAAAGAAAAGCAGCAGGTGCCCTGGAAGAGAAAGGAAGGTTGAAACAATCGTGTGGGTCTAAGCCCAGGAATTGGGAGTCTCAACCGAGACACCCCTTCCTCAAAGTGGCTGGTGCAGGTTGCTGGGACTATCACACAACCAAAATGAGTCCCAGTGGAATGGCCAAGTGTGCTGTTTGGGAATCTATGGTCGCCTTTTCCATCCACCAGCCTATGATACATAAAATCTGCAGAAAAGAGGAAAGGGGTTGAAAGGTTTAGGAGCTGTGGGGAGAGGGAGAATTGGGGACTACGGAGGATAGGGTGTGTTTTGCCCGTCCATATCTTCTCTCGCTATCATTGTTTAAGAGGACCTGGTGACGGGGACAGACATAGATGGGTGACAGGGATGGACAAAATGCCCCAGCCATTCTCTTCTCTCTTAATGTCACCCTGACACATAGTCTGGCCTGACTCTGCCTATGTAAACACCAAGGAGCAAGGGTCAAGTGCACCATGTTATCTGCCCACATACTCTGAGATGACCCTGGTCTTTGTAAACTTTGCTTTGAGAACCAGTGACATGAACATCACTTATGGAGGAACTGTGTGGGAGGAGAAACAGCGCTCTTTGGGAGAGTCAATCAGGCCAGTGCAGTGGGTTCAGGCTTTAAGGGGGAGAAAATGGCCACCCAAAGCATGGATCAGCAAGATGGCACTTTCAGGAGGTCCCAATCTTTGCCACTCACTGGAGGCAAAAAGGTCAAGCTACAAAAAGATTTGCGCTCTGCAGGTGTGAGGGCTGCAGGAGATCTCTGGACTGACCTCTTATGTAGTGTCCCCAATTGATGGGTAGTCAGGACAGCTCGAAGGAAATGCAGCTGCAATAACCAATCAATTCCAGTATCCTGCACACATCAAGGGTGGGGGGAGCCATTTCCAAGGCAAGAAGTCATTACTACCATTGGCTTTAATTATCATAAGCACTGGTTGAGCATTTCTGTGTGCCAGGCTCTGAATTAAGGGCTTTCCAAGCATTTTCTCACTGAATTCTAACCATAATCCTACGATGTAAGTATCAGGGTGGCATGGGTACAGAGAGTGCTTGACTAAAAAAAGAAAAAGGCATAAATCTCTACCTCCCATGTTAAGCTTTGCAAGACAGGGAAAGAAAGGGGTAGACATAGCTAGGGGTAAACTCTCAGTCCAAAACCCAAGCATGCAATAAATAAAATGTTCTTAATTGACAACTTGATTCCTAACTTCCTGCTTCTTTTCTGCTAGGGTGAAAGAAGCTTAATCTCAGTTTTTTTCAGGGGCTTCTACACATTTCTTGAGACTTTTGTCAAGGCTGGGGGCCATTTATATTCAATCTCCTCCCCACCCCGCACACCCCTACCCCAGCTCAACAGCAGGTGGCCAACTCAGCTCCCTCGCATTCAACGTCCTCCCAAAATGCTGTTGTGAAGACAAAACAAAAGTCTGGTAATTAAGATTGAATGGTTAAGAGGAACAAATAAATGCTGTGAAGTGAGCAAGGTGAAAGTAGGCCAATCAATTGGATTCTGGTAAACTGACTCATAACTGTTCCCCAGTGGCCATGTTGCTAAAACCCAAGCTGCCTCCCACCCCAGCCCAAGCTCATCTACCCAGCATGGCCATCTCATCTAGCTGGCCAATCAGACTCGCGTAGAGATTTGAAATTTGGACCCGAGAAACTCAGTCTGGTTGCTGCTAGAGCAGAAGTGAGTTTCTGGCAGTGTCCCAAGGAAAGAGGTCTATGAACTTCTGTCCTGAGGTCCCTGGAACTGCCTCATTTCCTGCCCCAGCTCCAGCCTGGGGGCTTCAGCTGCTCTTTCCATGAGATGGCCCAGCATCCTTCCTTTAAAAAAATTTTCTAGGTCAGGTGCAGTGGCTCACACCTGTAATCCCAGCACTTGGGGGGCCAACACGGGTGGATCACTTGAGGCCAGGAGTTTGAGACCAGCCTGGACAACATGGCCCATCTCTACTAAAAATGCAAAAATTAGCTGAGCATGGTGGTGCACGCGTGTAATCTCAACCACTCAGGTGGCTGAGGCACAAGAATCGCTTGAACCCAGGAGGCAGAGGTTGCAGTGAGCCGAGATCATGCCACCACACTCTAGCCTGGGCAACTCCATCTCCAATTTAAAAAAAAAAAAAACCCTAAAGGGCCATGGTGGCAATTTAGCACCTCAGGAATAACTTACTGGTTTAGATCAGTTATTGGTGGGGGGTGGGGTGTATGTGTGTTAAAATATACACAACAGGGGCTGGGCAAGGTGGCTCAAGCCTGTAATCA